TGTTTCGGATATGGGCATGGGTGCTGGGTTTCAAATCTGGGTTTAAGATTTGGGCATGGAGGCAAATGGAGTTGCAGAGAGGCATGCTTGTAGACAACACTCTTGCACACAACGCAAGTTCGGAGACGGGATTAGCAATCCCAAACGTTTTGAGGGGCCTCGCTAAGACCACGCAGTGAAGGACTTAGTCGGCACGAGTCCGACTTAGTACCATTAAACGTTGTCCCGCTTTCACCAAACACTGGACTAGTAAGTGAGTCTAGTCCAGTGAAACTTAAGAAGGTCAAACAAACGGGCCCTAACAGTTTTCACAAGAGGAGCATTCCAATTAAATTCATGCTTCTCTTCCCCGCAATTCTAATTAATCTATAACCCCTATTAGCAAGTTCAAAATTGTACCGGATCTCACAAACCAATCAAAACTAAGTAATGGAGTGAGGGTGTGCGAAAATGCTGCTCTCAACAATGGGGCTAAAAATATTAATCCATGTGCAGAAAGTTTTAATTTTTAAACATGAAAATGATTGGGAAGTTCAGCAATGTTGCTGCTCGTATATAAAGTTGTGGGGTGAGAGTTTTGCCACTAATTTTTATTTGGTTTTAATTTTGAGGGTATTTAGGTCTATTTAAGTAAGTTTTCTGTTATATTTGAAAGATTTTATAAAATGTGACATTTATGAAATTGAGTGTTAAATTTTGGCTATTATTAATAAAAACTCTTTTTTTTTGTGCCCACCGTCATAAACATTTCTTTGCCATAAGAAATTGTAAGGCTGACTGCAAAAGAGAAGAAGGAAGAAAGAAGGAAGAAAGAAGGAAGAAGAGATTGAACATATATGGGATATAATCTAGTTTCCTTTTTCAGGTGTGAGATTTACATGATTATCCAAACCATGACCTACAAATCCAAAAATGTATGCATGCACGACGCGTACTTTGCATAACAAGTCAAAAAGAAATTTACTTTCACCAACTTTTCTCGGTACTTTTGTTTTAATTATTACCAGCTACTTATGCATGTGTTAATTAAGTTGTTAACAACTAAGAACATTGTCAAGAAAAAGTATCCAGGAAGAGACACAACAGAGACAGTAGATACAGTGCTCTTCCACCATTTCCCTGAGTTTGAAGGATTCTACTGTGCTCTTCCACCATTTTCCGAAGTTTGAAGGACTAACGTATGTGCATTGGAGAGCGTTAATTATCTCCTTTGCTTTTCTGTAGTTGAATAATGGTCGACCTAGCTAGGGGGTTTCTTTTTCCTTTTCTTTATTTTGCTTTTTTATTTTATCTCCGGAATGATACGTGCTTTGGTGATCTGATGGGGGCTACAAATCCAAAATTTCAAACCCACTGCCTGCATCTGGATTGAAAGAGGCCCATCCACTTCAAGATTAATTGCTTGCCTTGTAAGGTAGACAAATATTTTGTCCATGCACCTTTTCTTTATCCATCAACTATAAATACATATGGCTATTTCCATGGTAGCTACCTAACTCTCTTGACTACATTTCCCATTTCGAATGGCTTCGGAATTCCATATTAGGTTAGAACTATTAATGTATTTTCTTTGTCTGAATGATATTTATGTTTTTTATGGAATATGTGATGAATTGCACATGATCGTGCTCATGCATGTGATAATAATCAGCTAATAACTCAATGCGGTGATTACCACTTTGTACAGGTTCACTTCACAATATTTATCATAATTTGAACCAATTAACATTTGAAGATCAACAATGGAAAGTTCACTCAAATCAAAACCCGTGTTTAGTTATCTAACTTTGACTTGATAAATAGACAAACGTAATATTGTCGATGAATACTTAAATGCATTGGATGATAATCAAAGGGCTAAATGATTCTATTTTCAATGAATTCTTGCATTGGTAATTTATGTATGAAATCTAAAAAATGAACAATTCAGATTATAAAATTTACTTTGGAACAAATCTAGACAACTAAATAGCACTATCTTAAATTACTAACTAGTTAACGGATGAGCACTAACGTTTAACGGATATCCACTGGCAGGCTAGAAAAGTCAGAGCCTCTTGTTTGCAAAACAAAACTAACCACAGAAACATCAGCATGTCGATCGCATCAATTAGGCAGCTGAGGTACGTAGTTGCCGCTTTGCCAACAAGTAATGGGAAAAAGTTAAAGTAGTAAGTCATCATGCGCTAACTAAAGCAAAGCAAAATGTGAGATTATAATATATGGAAAGAAATGCATGTGTATGGAGATTTGAGAATCTTCCATACTATTCCTCCTCCGATTTTTCCAAATAAAGTACAGCGTTGCACTGCTTTTCCTTCGAATGGACATCTCTCTAAAGTTGGCGAGCCTAATATATATAGCACACATATATACATGATATATACCACACACAATATATATGTACCAAGAGAACATCATAATTATAATTATTTGGAGAAGACTGAATCTTAATTAGATGTGGTGGTTGGTTCTAGTCCAAACCTAGTATTACATCTAAAATGCTCGACCTAGCTTAGCTGTAAAGAATAAGATCAGAGTTTAATTATTCATTCTTAATCACCCTAATAGAAAAATATTGAACCCAAACATAGTACTAATAACATAATTTAATGTATTAGGGCTTGGACCTTACATGTGTGTGCATGATAGTTGGTTATGGTTATGATGGGTCGGAATTATAAGGTATATTATAGTATAATACAATATATAATTATATATATTACCGAATTCAAGATACATACCACATCGAATCCAATTTCTTTTTTCTAAACTTTGAAATTTTGATTTTGATGCATCAAAGTTACAAATATTTGGCTCAAAATCGGTATTTTCTATCTAACTTGCACTCCTAAGTATAACAGTTGATAAGGAACCAAATAGTCTCTTAATTACAAGTGTATCCCTCATATGTTAGGGTTATTTTGCGGTATACGTACGTGTGAGATTGATGGATTTGAACTATAATATTCTCCCCTAAGCTAGGCAGAAGAGACCCATATATTGTTGAACGTTTATTCATGAGTTGGTGCTTCTTCTTTTTTCCTCCTTTATTTGTAGCATTCCATTTGGTAAGTCCATGTGTCCTATGTTGCATAATCTAGATACCAACTTTAATTTTTCTCGTACAGTTTTCAGTTAAAAGACGTAGATGAGTACGTATATTAATAACATTGTTTATACCATACTTAGGGCATCCCTATTTAGACCTCGTACAAATACTCAGGGAACTTAAATGTAATTATGTGATAAAGGAATGGGCAAATATGTAATAAGTGAAGAGCCCTTATTCTATAAAAGGATTCATCACCCACACAATTAAGAGAGGTGAATTCCTAGGCCCTCTCACCCCCCTCTCAAAGCTCTCACTCTCAGAGTTCTCTCTCCCTCAAATAAATACATAATCAGTATGGACGTAGCCCAAACCTTAGGGTGAATCACGATACATCTTGTGTTATTTACATTTCATGCAGATTCACAGTCGGATTTATGTTGTTCCAAGACCTCCGGTTTTGTGCATCAACAAATACCACTTGAAGCAGTAACAATTTAATCCATAGACAAATTGCTCATTAGATTGGAAGACAGCTACAGTAAGTAGTTAATCATCATTTGTTATGGGTCCAATTCTCTTTAGGTGGTGGTTTTTTTAGGGTTGTTCACGAATCACGACAAGATGTACCATGAATAATTGTTAATCGCATTTCCAGCAGATTTGTGAAAAAAGTCGGCGTTTCAAACAGGTGGACAATAAGAATTTAGTAACATGAAGCACGGATGCAGAGGGGGTTGAGGGAGAGCGAAAGATGCAGTCCTACAAGGTCTCAAATTTGAAGGGACCCCTAAAAATTTTATCACCTAATATTTATATGTAATAATGTTTTATATTTAAAAATTATTTTTGTAAGCACTTTAAAATCTCATCGTACATTTCTTATAAGCTTTAATTTTTGTTCATTTCTAAATATAAAAATTTGGAGTATAATGAGATACTTTTAATGGCAATAATAATACCTTAAAAAAGGTTTTTTTTTTTCAATTTATTATATAATAATGTTATATATTCAAGTGAAACTTTAAATTTAGAGTTTTTGAAGTTTTTTTTTTCTTGTTTGGTTATTTAAGATTGAACTGTTTTTTATTATTTAGTAAATGTTATGTTTGTAGCTCTTTTTACTTTCTAGCGTCAATACATTGTCCTACCTTTTTAAAAAGCTATCTTAAATAGGGGCCCTTTTATTAATTGTGCACACGGCTCCTAAAATCTCAAAGACGGCCCTGCACGTATGGTTATTGGGCTTCATGCGTGAACCAACATGTTCTGATACATAATTAAAAGTTGAGAGTAAATTGTAGCAATGATCCCTCAATTTTAATCAATTGGAGCAATGGTCCTTCAACTAAAAATACATTACCATTGGTCCCTCAATTCATCAAAATGTGTAGCTATGGTCTTTTTCGTCAACTTCGCTAGAATTTTGTCAAAATAAGTTATGTTGGGAGAACTATTGCTACAATTGGGTCCCCCAACTCATCAAAACGTGTAGCTATGGTCTTTTTCGTCAACTTCGTTAGAATTTTGTCAAAATAAGTTATGATGGAATGACCATTGCTACAATTGGGTTAAAGTTGAGGGGTCATTGATTCAATCGGGTTAAAGTTCAGGGATCATTTCTCCAGTTGGATTAAAGTTGAGGAACCAATGGTAATGGATTTTTAGTTGAGAGACCATAGCTGCACGTTTTGATGAATTGAGGGACCAATGGTAATGAATATTTAGTTGAGGGATCATTTCTCCAATTGAGTTAAAGTTAAGGAACCATTGCTAAAATTTACTCAAAAGTTGAAGTTCCTTATTCCTTCGATGTGAAATTCATACTCTCAACATGCCCCTCATATGACGTGGAGATGAATAACCAAACTATATCTTAGCTAGCTAGCATCAAATTTAAAGTAGCAGAGAACGTCATTAGATGAATTAAATTACGAAAATGAAGAAAGAAAAAAAGAGGTCTTCAACATGCAAGAACAAAAAGCGAATCTTTACATAGACCAACAACTTGAAACAAACATGCAGAGCTACCTGCTACCAATCCTTAAAAAAAAAAAAAAAAGGTGCAAAACAAGAGCCTCAAGTTCACGAAGCGACAAGCGTGATCGAGCATGCATGGTAATGAAGCTAAAATGCCTATAAATATTGACAGAAAAAAACTTACATGCACTCATTTCATGCATCTCTTTCACATGTAGACATGCATGGTTACGTGCTAGTCCTCAATACGTACAAAGCTACTAAAAAGAAAGTTTTCCCCGATCGACAACGGGAACCCAAAAGTAAAAGCAAAACCTAAAAGATTATTTAACTATCATTTTCAGTGACACGCTGAGCATGCATGCAGCCTAATGTACCCCACAAAACCATACCACTCTTTAACCTTGCTCTAATTAATCTTCATTAGAGCTTATTGATCATCATTTTGTTACTTTAATAATTATTGTGAGTACTGCATCTGCATGGCAATCAAAATCCGGTATAAATCCGAAAGTCTCGCACATAGAGCTAAGGACTCGGATGTCAAGCGGTCATTTTCTCTCCATGTTACGTGACACTTTTGAGCAACCACCCCCAACCGGTTCTTCATCTCCAGGTTCTCTATTTTCAACCGTTCCACCTCGTTCGTCATGTCCTCTAAATGCCTCTTCTTTCTCCACCTGGACCGCCGGGCTGACTCGCGATTTGACATCGTCCGTCTACGCTTTCTCTCGTCAACTGTATAGACCTCCCGGTTCGACCCCTCTGAGCTTGGGGAGGCCGAGTTCCCTGCTTGAAGCAAAGACAGTAGCTCTTGAATCTCGGCTGTTGTGAGCTCGGTTTCTTGAACCGGGCACTCGAAGTGGCCCATGTGGGCCGGTTCATGGTTGATGAACATGGCTGAAGAACTCATCATCATTTGAGTGAAGGGAAGGGAGGGAAGGAGGAGAAAAGGGAAGGAACGAAGAAGAGGGGCTGAGTTTTTATAGTCGAATGAAAAGAGACAAATGGGGTCCACCCTATGCAAAAGTTTTGGAGCAGTGAGGGTAATTTTGTCCAAGAAAAGTATGTGTTGAACAAAGGACTAGGGTTTCTTTTTATTTTTGGTTTATAAAAATTTTTAAATGTATTTTTGGGTTGGTGTAGTGCCATTACGTGCACAACTTTTGTGTAAAGGGGGAATGGGAATGGAAATGGTGATGTGTGGTGGTAGGGTTTCTGCTTTGTTAAGGAGAGAGGGATGGTGGGCTCCAACAGAAGATTAGCTTTAGCTTAATCACGAAGAATCAAACAAAAATGTATAAACAAACAACAGATTATCTGAAAGTTTAGCCGACAAATTTCGCACAAGGCGTATGGAATACGCAGTTGAGAAGGTGATGATCTGATTCTCTCAATAATCAATATACATACCTGTGTTTGGAAAAATTCTGAAAAATATACAGTCAAATTATCCAAGATTGATATTATATTGTAAAAATCAAGATCTTCGGTCGAACTCATGATAAATGCATATGTATAGACAGGGTCTTATGTATTTAAAAGGATGAACGTTCACAATTATGATATATTTTTTTCTTTAATTTAATTTGATCTCATTTTTTAACAGTCACAAAATTGACCATCTAGGGTGTATAAGCTGCTTTTGTGAGCTTCGCTTTTACATGGTTAGTGTCAGATTTTGCGCCTGAAGTGATTAATCAACCTAAGACGAATCCTAAAGTTTATGCTTCAAATGGCGATTCTACATCTAAAATCGAGTCAATAAATGTGATCAAAGAAAGAAAATTAAATTGAGTATAAAGATAGGTTTTATTAACAAGATTGATTGTTATTTAGCGTCATAACCAGATAATAACCAGTGCATATATATAATTCCCAGCTCACCGTGAGATGCATTAGTAAGCCTTTTGAGAATATTTCATTTGAAAAGAGTTGAGCTCCAGTAGTTAAAAGCAAGTTCTGTGTTCAAATTCCTCATTCTCCATTAATATTACCCCCTGTACCAGAAAAAGTATACCTCGTTTGTCATATTATTCTTTGTTCCTAGAACATGGCGTTTCGAATAAAATACTCGCATACAAATTAAGATTTCGTGGAAAGGAATCAAGGCAGTTTTCTTAGTTAGCATTCCTGGACTTTTTCTCAGTGGACGTTTTGGAAAGGGGTTCGGCTCTCATTAGTAAATCCAGACCAAAATATAAGTGGATGCTAACATGCACACGTTCTCTTCTGCGTTTGAAGCTTTAATTAACCAGTAAAAATACAATCTAATGAAATATTAATTAGGGTAAATTACATTTTACCATCTCAAGTTTGAGGTGTATTACAACCTTATACAATATTTTCAAAACATTTCACTTTCATACCTCACGTACTATTTTATTTCAATATAATACATCCGTTACATTTTTTATCCATTAATCTGTTAAGAGTTGACATGGCAACCACATTTGTGCCACGTGGCAAATTTTATTTATTTATTTAAAATATTATAATAATTTACCTTATTAAAAAAATAAAAATAAATAGAAAAAAAAGGGTAAATATCAGTTTACTACCCTCAAGTTTTATGGTTTTCAACATTTGGTACATAAAGTTTTTTTCATCCCAGAGTCATACCTAAAGTGTTAATTTTGGGACAGTCTCATACATCCGTTAATCAAACTGTTAACTCTTCCATTAACTGATGACGTGGTGCCCATGTGGACAATGACTGGGTGCCACGTGTCATTAAAAAATTAATTAAATATTAAAATAAAATAAAATAAAATAAAAGAACCAGAACGCCTTCGTCTTCCCTACCCTCCACCACTCCACCCCCTCCAGTCCTAGGGAAAGCCCTAATCTGCGTGCAGAGATGGTCGTTATCCGTGGAGATCCTCAATGCCTATGGTTGGGACCTCGAGCTCACGATCTCTTCCTTCACTCTAAAAAGCATTTCAAAACTCAAAAACTTTTTCCCTCATTTCTTCTTTGCCAAAAATGGAGCCTTCAGCTCTCAAACTGGTTATGGTTCAAGGTCCGCGGAAGGGTGAAACCCTAAAATTCGTACCCTGATCCAAGGTCCGAATTTGCTGCGTTGTTCAAGGCAACAACCTCCCAATTAAAGACTCCGGCATTTCCTCCAAGCACCTCTCCATCGAATCTGAATCAGGCAAATGGGTACCTCGACCCCCTAAATACGCTCGTGGATCTCACCGACGGCGACGAAATCAAAATTGATGAGTACACTTTCGTCGAGGTGAGGATCGCCGGCTACGAAGAGAGCCGGCTGAGACAGAACCCTAGGTGTGCGGTGACCGCAACGGAAGCTACTGTTGTGCTGGTTTCGGAGAGTCGGGGAAGAAGAGGTAGGGTTGTGAATGAGAGCGAGGGGATAACGGAGGTGGAGAGAGCGAATGTTGTGGAAATTGAGGTCGTAGGGAAACGAGGGAGGGGCCGACCGCTCAGAGCTAGGGTTTTGAAGATTGAAGTTGCGGAGGAGAAGCCTGTGGAGGAAAATTTGGCACGGCAAGTGAGTACGAGGCAAACTCAGAGCTCCAGGATCGAGGAATTGGGGAAGATCCCAAGTATCGTCGGAACCTCCACAGTCTCCGATGCCAATCTGGACAGTCATCAAACCCCATCGCGGCACCCGGGTTTTTAGGGGAAGGGAATGGGCTGGGTTTTTGGGGAAGGAGAAAAGGCTTGGTGGTAAGGGTGGGTATCAGGGAAGGGGATGGGTGTTGGCGGGTAAGGGGTGGAAGGGATGGAAGGGTGTTGGGTGAGGAAGACGAAGACGTTCTGGGTTTTTTTTAAAATTTTTTTATAATAATTAATTAAATAATTAATTTAATATTTTAAAATTTTTTAATGACACGTGACGCTCAGTCATCATCCACATGGGCGCTACGTCATCAGTTAACGGAAGAGTTAACAGTTTGACTAACGGATGTATGAGACTGTCCCAAAATTAACACTTTAGGTATGACTCTGGGACGAAAAAAACTTCATGTACCAAATGTTGAAAACCATGAAACTTGAGGGTAGTAAACTGATATTTACCCAAAAAAAAAACTCAAACCCACCTGCCCGCAACCCCCACCCCAGCAAACAAACCCAGAAATCTTCACCCCACCCACCCGAGACCCACCTCCCTTCCCAAAAATCCCCTTCTCAGTCCTCTCCTCACTCGCCATTTCTAATTGCTTCTCACTCTCTCTAGGAGATGAGTCCTCAAACCCTAACCCTAATCTCATGCACTCATCTCTCTTCTTCTTCCTCTTCCTATCGCCGATCGATTCGTAGAGACGCTCGTCGACGGTCTCCGCTCCCACAGAAAACGTAGGAGCTTGGACAGAGGGGGTGGCTCGGGTGGGATTTTTTGGGTGTGGCGGAGGTGGGATTTTTGGGCGTGGCAGCGGTCTCCGGAGGAGGGAGGTGAGGGTGGGGTGGGATGGGGTTTTTTTTTTTTAATAGGGTAAATTATTATATTTTAAATGCATAAAAAATTAATATTTTTGTCACGTAGCACATTTTTGGCAGCCACGTCAGCACAAATGTGGATCTCATATTTACCACGTAATCACTTAACGGATTTTCTAAGGGATGTATAAAATTGAAATAAAATGATAAGTAAACGTATGAAATTGAAATGTTTTAAAGATGTTGTAAGGAATTGAAATTGACCCCAAACCTGAGAGGATAAAATGTAATTTACCCTATTGATTATTAAAGCTTAATTACTGATCAGGTTTTTGTCTCCCCTTTAGTGTGCCGCATCAAATTTGGTAAATCCAAAGTAGGGTTCATGTGCTGTGCTGCTGCACAGTTTTCCTAATCGATTCCCTCATTTTTTTTTTTAACAGTGTTTAATATAAAATTTTGGCCTGGTTTGTCTTTCTCTTGATTGTTATATATTTCGTACATAATATGGTCTAAAGTTAACCAGATTGATTTGAAAGCTAAAGAGATGAAATCACTCTATTTAATTATCCCTTTTTCGGTTACATTGGAAGGAATCGAACCTGACCTAGTTAGGCTAGCTAATTTCATTTCTCTATCCACTCACCATTTTGGCTAGCTTCAAAGGCTTATCTTACAAGTCTCTTTGGATAACATTTTATAGGACCAGTGTATATATTGCCCGATGAAAACAATACATTATAAATCCCCAATTTGGCTATCCTAATACGTTTTGATATGATACGCAAGAACACTAACGGATCAACAATAGGGCCAATGCATAAACTGTCGAATGTTCCTTTGATGTTGTTTGCAAGTATATTGTCATGAGAGCAAAATGTTTAACAAAATATCTCAAGAGGCTGAGGAAGTGCCTTGATTAGACAAAGTGGCGTGTGAGCTTCATTTTTCCTTGGAAGATAAATGCATGCATCCACCATTGTCTAAAAGTGTCGGGAGCTAAGGGCAACTGGACATAGTGGCGCATGAGTTTGATCTCACCAGGAAGACAGATTTATGGATCCGCCATTGTTCAAAACGCGTATGCTATAGCCGAAGAATATTGCAGTATTTAGAACCGGCTGGCGGCTACATTAAAATCCCTCATCTAAACCGGCCTAAAAGAATAGAACCTTAAAAGCTACAAAGTCGAAATCCCCTAGGGTGCTAGGACTAGACTAGCTCATGATCACAAATCACTCTAGCCATTAACGAAATTGTGTATAAAAAGTGCTTCCACTCTCCAATAAATATTATATAGCTAGAGCTTATTGTTCACTGAACCTGGAAAAGTACATTGATAGTGAAGATGCTGCTTTGTTTTGTAAAGAAGAAAAGAAATGTTTTACAATACAATTTACAAACGGCCCTTGGCCGGCACCACTAGATGTGTACACGAACAGCAAGATGAGGCTCCATGTACAAATGACTTACAATCTTTACGTTTATAGCAGTCGATCGAACATCTCTGCTTGTCTCATGTTTTCCTGTTGCCAGTTTATAGACTCGTATATGATATTCGAAG